GGACCCGGTGGCTTAAAACTCACGCCGGGCGCGTGTGCGTGCGTGCCCAAGATCCCGAGAGGAGAATGGAGGAGAAGGGATTGCAGTGTGACCATCCCCCCTGGGGGGTGATTTCTCGCTTTCTGTCTCTATGTCTCTCTCTGTCTGTCTGGCGAGCGCACGCTCCCTATAGCGAAAACCTCTCCAAAAAAAACAAAGAAAAAGAAAAGAAAAGTAAGCTGGTAGACCAAAAATATTAAAAATGGGAACAGTATCAAATATTCAAAATTTTGTTCACATTCTGAGAGGATGGTGTCCTGTGATTGGTGTTTAATACATCAAGACAGGAAACATAGGGCCATATCAGATTTGTCAATGTAGATAGAAGATAATCATCAGCAATCTGAGTTCTGTAGCTGGCAAGTACTCCTAAAAGATTGTCTTCGGAATGTATCTTATGTTTGTGGTAATGTTTTGCAGGGATAAGTTGGCACCGTTCTTGGGAGATTTTCTAAAACCTCGGGATCTGGATTTGACTATTACCTTGTATCATGGCTCTGCTGTGGAAAGAGACTCTCGTTTGCTTGGATTTGACTTGATAACATGCATTGAACTGTGAGTTTTCAACTGATTCATACTGTGTAACTGTTCATTTGAAAAATCTGAAACACTTTTTTTTTTCCTTTGTGAGATTTTTGCTATACGGCGTGTGTGCTTGCTGGAGAGACAGAGACAGACAGAGAGATAGAAAGTGAGAAATCCCCCCCCAGTGTAGGATAGCCATACCACAATCCCTTCCCTTCTCCTCCATTCTCCTCTTGGGATTCTGGGCATGCACTCACATGCGTCTGATGTGAGTCTCAAGCTGGGACTCGAACAGTATACAACCACATGGGAGTCCAGTGCCTTAACCGCTATGCCACCTGTTGGCTCCCTAAATGATGTGTGTTTTGCAGTTCCAGTTCTCCCCCTATATTTACTAGCCCACCCTCAGCATTTCACTGTGAACAAGAGCCCTCTCTTCTGTCCATTTATCATGTGCATGTGAATTCATGAATTCTTGCTTTTTAATTGCCTGTGATCTAATTCTGTACTTAATTGATTTTCTTGCTCAAATTGTCCCAGGGTTGGCTGGTGGGGAGCCCATCACGCTGGCTCCTGTGTCATTATCTTATTTCCTGGACACTTATTTTCTGACATAACAAGATCTTCCAGGCTTCTCTTGTACTTTTCCTTCCTCTACCTGGAGTCAGTTATCCTCAAAGGAGTTCTGTTTCCTTTATAAATGGAATAGTATTTAGAATCCCAATATATGTGCTTTGTAATGACCTTTTTTTTTATGTTTCAATTAATGTATTTATTTGTCATTATACAAAATGCCACATTGAAGATGTGTACAAATATTTCTGTAGGATAAATTTTTAGCAGTGGAATTCAGGGTTAAAAGTTGTATTGATTTAAAATTTTGATAGATAATGCCTAATTGCCCTTTACAAATGCTGTCCTTATTTCTTTTTTTTTTTTTTTTACATTTTTTTCTTTCTTTCTTTACATTCATTCACTGTACATCATTATAGCATACAAAATGAGATTTTTCCATTGAGAATACACTGTATATTGGCTCAATCAAGCACATCAACATATGTGTTATTGTCAACAAATCATTTTCCATTTCTTGTTTTCTGTATATTTTGCCTTTTTTCCATCCTTGATTCCCTATCTTACCCTCTGCCATCTCCCACCCTCCTCCCACACTGTGTCTTGTATCTATTGTTGCTTTCTATGCCTCCCCCATTTTATTGTTTCACTAATTATCTTAATAAATCTAAATATTTTCAATAGCAAGCACAGCTGATATGTACATATCCATGAACACAAGTCTGACTTTAGGCATAAACCTCAGTGAATAGAATGAACATACTATAAAGTAGCACCTAACTAGGGCTATATAGCTTACTGCAGTCATCAAATAAGTATTTTTAATGCTTTT